TTAGTTTTATATGACTTAGCTTAATCGTTAATAAATATCAAAAATCCAAAAAAATATTTAATTTAACTTCATTATTTTTTAATAAATAAAAACAAATCTTGACCTTAAAATAATAAAAAAGGGTAATTTTTTTAGAAATAACTGTAGATTTCTTTTCATAAATAAAACAATAAAAATACAATTTTATTCTAGTGGTTTAATTTAATTTCAATTTTTTTTCATAATAAAAAATTCATAAAAAGAAATTTATTTGAAACATTGCTAAACTAATTAGTTTTTATTAATTTAGATCTTTTGTTAGTCGACCTCATATGCTAACTAATCCGTCCTTAAAAATAAATAACTTCATACTTTATTCAAGATTAAACCTTTTAATTTAAAACACCTTGTTTAACTTAGTGCAATTCTAACATTTTAATTACATAATCTCTCTCACAAAAATAAATTGAAAACAGTTTCATCATTCATTCCACTTAATAATTATCCATCTAAAACTAACCTTTAATTACGCGTATCACTAATGCCTACATATTCCTACATTATCCATTATCATCCGTTGTATGTCATTTACATCTTCAATCATTATTCACTTTTACCGTTAATTCCACTCCAAAAGAAAGGTTACACAATTTGACCTATACCCTACCCATTTAAGCCGTAGGATCCGAGTCGCCGTACTCATGCTTAGGCGTCCCGCCGTGTACATTAAACCCTCTATCCTAGCCTTAGGATTAGAAGTTTCCGTACTCCATATAAGTTTCCCACCGTTGAATGCTTATCTCACACCCTTTTAATTCAACCTTATAACGTAGAAATCGGAGTCGCCGCACTCCAAAGTAAGTGCTTCCCTATGAACGTTTACTTTCCCCAAGAACCTTGACCACAGTCAAGAAGTTCCTCTTCCTCCCTCTGTGAGGGGAACTACGATTACTTTGATTTCATCCCCTACCCAGGATACGTAGGCACAAGATGTGAATCTTGGCGAGTAAACTTAGGACTAACCCTTTAGGTCTTTTTCTTAACCTTTAACCCTTAGCATTACCTTTAAGCAGATAACTTAGCAATAGCGCATTTTAAACAAGAGGTTCCTGTAGAATACTACAGAAGTTTAGGATGCTAATACCTTCCTTAAGCTTAACCAACCCCCGAACCCTAGATCTTTCCCCGCATTGTGTTTACGATGCAAAATAGGTTTTCCCCTTTCTTTAACCTTTCCTTCGGATAAATTAAAGACCGGTTGTAAATGAATTAAGATTCAAGTTAATCAATAGCTTGACATCCAAATTTCACCGTAATAGATGCGTTGCCCTCCATTAAATATAGGCCTGCTCCATGTAAACCTAGCTTCAACAGATCCCATATCAATGAGACCACACTTGTCCATATTATCCTTAAACCTCTTGCATTTATGTTGACAAATGACAACTCCTCCTTTTTTTTCATGAGAAAAGGCAATGTTATTAAACTCTCCTTCCAAGAGCCAAGGGTAATTCATGTGAGCACTAACATCATACAACTCATTCCACATACTTCTTCTATTCTCCACATTTGGACTGACATAGATAGGAGTGAAACTCCAGGTAGGCCCATGAGAGGCTTTCACCATGAAGTGAATGTATTTGAAGCTCTTATAGATTAAGGTAACCTTCAACTCCCCTTTATCCAAGCAACAACAATTTCACCAGCATAACCTTGATTATCATTTGAGCAAAAATCATTAAAACCCAGCTTGATGAATGTTTTTTGGAGCTTTTAAGGGTGGCACATGGTTCCCACAATAACTATCAACTTTGGCTTATAAGAACTTATATACTGCTTGCAAAATCTGAAAAAACTTTTATTGGTTGCACCTCTGCAATTCCAAATTAGTAAATCTTGCTGTGAAATCATCATAAAACTTGTATCAAGGGTAAGTTTAACAAAACCATAAATCCAACCATTACTACATTGGTTCACTTCCATTCTCCCTACAAATCATGTCTCTGTTATCAGCTTGGAGATCATCGTTTGGCTTGTTTTGATTGATTTTATTATTTAAGTTATTATTGTGTTTCCCATCTGGTGGTCTAAGAATATTAACTTCTTTTAAACTCTTCTGTTCAATCATATTAATTTGATCATTATTCATGCAAGCATTCCTCGTATTTTCCACTTTTTCTCATACTTTGTTGTGGCCCTTTTTTCACTCTTTATAATTCTGACACATGCCATGTTAGAAATCCAATCTTTAATGTTGTTGTCTCCCACGATTTCAGCAATATGGGTCACTCCTTTTTTCTGAGTCTCATGTGCTTTAAAACCCTTTTTTTTAATTCCTACCACCACACTTTCTTTCTTTGCCTTTTTTTAGTTTTCACGTAACTGCCCCTTATTGGTTTGATCCTGTTGTTTTTCTTTTTTGTCCCCCACTTTCTGTTGACTTGCCCCGACATTCCCATGATTGCTTGTTGATTCTCCCGCATCTTTGTTTTCCACTTTTGACGTAGCCATTATTACTTCCACCGTGTTATTTGTTTTTTATTGTCCTGTCTGCCACAAGTCAATTCACCTTTATGACCAATGATTTTCTCATTCATTTTAATAACTGAATTGTCTCCCTCATTAATATTTACATTCAAAGCATTAAACCTAGATCCTGATATGTTCCTTCCTACATTAAATTTCACTTGTCCCTTGCCTTGCCAGCTTGATTCTCCGGCCAGCGGCGACTTCTGGTTGCTTCCCATGGCTCCTCCAATTTTCTTTGATCTCTTGCTCTTTTGAACAATTGACCAAGGTCCCTCAATTTCCATGTTGTTGGAAAGTTGTTGATGCACCACTTCCTTTACTTTATTGCTTCCTGCTTCCACCATGTTAGAATTCGTTGTCTGTTGTTGTTTCTCCAGGTATCCCTCCTTGTAGTGGCCAAACTCCCACACAAAGTGCATAAAAGATGAAGTCATTCATACTCTAGTTTGTATCTCCTTTCTTTGATTGTGAAAATAGCAAGCAATGATTTCGAAAGATCTACTTCAACATACAACCTAACACACTTACCTCATTCTTGAGATAAGGTGTTTTTGTCCACCTTAATCGTCTTACCAATCCTATTCCCTATGAATGAAATGATCTTTGTGTCATAATATTCAACGTGGAAGCCAACTATATGAACCCACACTGCCACATTCTCAATGGCATCGCTTCCTGGATGAAAATCTAGGCTCCATTTTTCACCGTAAGGTAATGATCATAGATAAACCATGGACCATTTGCCAAGGTCATGTTGTGATCATCTTCATGTGAAAATATCACCAAATAGTAATCATTGATCAGATTTCTTAAATTGATTACCCCTTTCTTGACCCACATTTGCTTTAGCCTTGTTTACAACGCCTTATAGCCAATCCTCCTACCAAGAAATTTGACTATAACACCTCTCCTCCATGGCCTATGGATTCTTCTCTCCTCGTGTTTGGAAAATATGAACTTTGAACATGCATAATTCCCTTCCAGATGCTCTTCAACTTTCATGTTTTCCAGATCTATGACTGTGATTTCATTTCCTTTTTTCTCCTTATTCTCTACCTCTACCATAACAATATTTTTGTTATTCCCCATCACCATAGCCTTATACGACCATTACTCTATAACGTCTCCCGCCACTATTTACTTCTCATCATCTTTTACTTTTTTTTTCTTCTTTATTTCTCACCTTGAGATCTTTCTTGTCTTTATTTAGATCATTGAGTTTAGAGGTGTTTTGGCCTGGGCCCCTGCCTCACCTCGCGGCCCAGCCCAATGATACACGAAATAAGGCTCATTATGGTTTTAGTAAGACGGCCGGGCACGTGACCCCTCAACGGGCAGAGCACGCGCCCGCCGAGGAGAACAACGTGCCTCAGGACGTCCCCTGCGCCCTCCCCTTCGCGGGAAGGCACTGCCAATCGTTGTCCCTCGTCGGGCAGAATCCCCATACCGACGAGCAGGACAACGTGTCTCTCCCACTCCCTCGGGTGCTCCCCTCCGCGGGGAGATCAACGTGCCATTCGCACGTTCTCCACGTGCTCCCCTCCGCGGGGACACGTCACCAACCAACTGCCCACCTCTGGAAGAGCAGGTCAAACCCACTTTCCGGAGATCACGGGGCAGTTGGACTAGGGCGAAGACCACGTCCTAGTCTTCACTACGCCACGTAAGCCCTAGCAGTCACCTGGGTTGGGTCTGGCAATCCAGCCCAACGCAAGTGACCATTGACCCAGCGCTGGGGTCTCTCTATAAATATCCTCTTTCACAAGAGGGTCAGGTAATTCACTTCTTACCCATTTTCTGTACTTGTGATCACTCTGCCCATAGACTTACTTTGGCATCGGAGTGCCTTGCAGGTACACTCTCCCTCCTCATCATCGGTGAACAAACAGCAGTTTAACAGAGTGTGGCCAGACAACGATTCCCTTCAGATCAGATCAGATCATATGGTTTGCCCTTGCATAAAACAAGTCATTTTTTGAGATCTTCATTAAAAAAAAAATTGAGTGACCACAATTATAGCCTTGTTTTATTTAAGAACAAGTTTTAGACATGCAGAAAATAGAAGGAAAAAAAATTGAAAAAATATATTAGTTATGATGATGTATTATTAGATTTAGTGAGTTATAAAAATGCAATATAGTGGAGGAATGAAGGATATTAAAAAAAAAAAGGTTGGGCGTTATGTGGCAACAAGCGGTCCATTTTAGTTTTGTGGTGGCCGCTCGCTGATCCATCCATAGCAACCCTAGATCCCTAATTTACAAAACAGTCTTCGAATTGAACAATCTGAATCTAGTGTTTGAATTGAACAATCTGAATCTAGATTCCATTCCATGATATATGTATGTAGTCCTTGATCCATCCGGGTAAACATGGATTCCGATTTTCAATAAAACTATTACTGAAGTTTGGTTTGGTTTTGCAGGTGAAATGGTCTGTTGTAATTATAGCTCTGCCAATGGTGTAATCGTTGTTATCGTACATTTGCCGAAATGCAATTAGCTTCAAACAGTGAATCCCAACCCATCTTGAATCACTCGTGTGAGATTATTCCTGATAACGATGATATAGAGAATGTTGGTGTCATTACAGATCAACCACAATGCCGAATATGCCTTGATTTTGAAGGTTAATTAACTTTTCATACCATACTAATTAACTTTTCATACGATACAACATCAATCAAACTTTATATAAATTCTTTTAGGAGAAGACTTAATTGCCCCCTGCCATTGCAAAGGTACACAAAAATATGTTCATAGATCGTGTTTGGATAACTGGAGGTCTACCAAGGTAAAACCTTATTGTGCTTTTTATTATCATTCAATGCCAAACACCTCTTGCTTACCAATATTATGCATTCAATGCCAAACACCTCTTACCAATATCATGCATTCAATGCCAAACACCTCTTGCTTACTCTTGCTAGGAGGGCTTTGCTTTTTCTCACTGTACAGAGTGCAGAGCTGTCTTCATTTTACGAGCAAATGTCCCAAAAGATCGCTGGTGGTTGAGGTTGAAGTTTCAGTTCCTTGTTGCCAGAGATCATGCTTTCATTTTCATCATCGTTCAACTGGTATATACTACATTATCTCATTTTCATCACCGTTCAACTGCTATATACTCACATCTTCGTGTCATTGCACAGGTTGTTGCTTTCTTGGGGGTGCTTATTTACAAATTCTATGGGGATGAACTTAGAGAAATGTTTGGTTATGAACAACATCCATATGGATTTTATACAATGGCTGGTATTCCACTGTCAACTTCTTTGCAGCTTTTTCTCACTTAACCCAATGGAAACTTGATAATACTGCTATGTTTTAACCGAATGGAAACTTGATAATACTGCTATGTTTTTGCAGTTCTAGCCATTATTTTGGTGGGTTTGCTCTATGGCTTCTTTATAGCAATAATATGTGGCCAACGAATCAATGAACGCCACTACCATGTTCTTGCCAAACAAGAATTGACAAAGGTCTGCTGCTTTCAAATCTTTTGACATACAAAACCAGTAATATGCTTTGCTCATAAAATATGGTTTAAGGATTATAGTTGATTTGTATCATATAAGCATACGGATTATACTAATTTAAGGTACTAAACTCTTCACTCTGTTCTTTACTTTTTTTAATGACAGGAATATGTGGTAGAAGATCGAGAACATGTAAAGAATGTGCCCGAACTCGACCCCAGCCATGTGACAGAACTAAGGATGCTGGGCCTTTACTAGCCGGTATATGTATATCCCATTCTTTCCCGTTTAAATTTCCTGTCTTGTTCCACTTTTAGATGTTAAATTAGAAACTGTATAAAGAGAAAGAGAGACCAATGAAAAGTTTAGCCAAAACTGTTACAAGATACTTACAATTAAGTGGACTATATCTGTAAACTTGGTCTCTTACAAAATATTATCATTTCGCTTAATCCACCAAGTGGACTATCTTTTCTATTCTCTACCACTTTGTATTTTGAATTCTATTGGTAATGATATGATACTGTTTCACTTATAAAAGATAAAAAATCCAAAATTACAAACTTTTTTTAGTTTTTGTTTTGCTTGGCGTATAAAGTTCATATAGATACTCTACGAGAAACTGAAAGCTAATGTATGTCCGTTTCAAAGTGAGCGACCATTTGAGCATTTCAATCGAAACATAAGTGCAATAACTTATCTCTGTTCTTTCTTCGTATGACAATATGACAGACCAAGTAAAAGTCTTTGTATGACAACTTGGAAACGCAGTAAGCTATTTCTATAATAAAAAAACTAGTGTGTACATAGGTTGAATAAATCCATCCAAACCGATCCAATGAATTGATATATGATTTAATATTTATAATTTTATCATTGAAATTTGGTTGATGATATTAATTGATGATATTAATGTTGAAGTCAATGATGTGTGGAGGATATTTGAGTGATCTTTTTGACTCTTGTAATTTGATGAATGGCGGGTTTGATGCATTTATATTTGGTTGCTTTAATTTTAAGCTCTTATTATGAATTATTATTGCACTTTGATTATCTTATACTAATATTAGTAAGATTAGAGTAATTTATGCAGCACTTTGATTATCTTATACTAATATTAGTAAGTTTAGAGTAATTTATGCAATTCTATGTAATACGATAATACAATTTTGATTTTTACAAATATTTTTATTATAAATTTTATAGAATGTTTAGTCATTTGATGTTAAAAGAATAGCGCTAATAGGACTAAACTATCTTCAAGAAACAAATAGTTGGTGTATTTTTTTAAAAAAAGAATGAGACACTATTTATAATTATACAAGAAAAAAATAGGTGACCTGTTATCCAAATCTACCTAATGATATTGTATGTGGTTATTTTACCTCATTTAAATCAATATATTTCTATCTGATTTGGATTTTGGTTTTGATCCAATCCAAATTGACTCGTGTACTTAAAAACTTTCATGACTTATGGTATACATATGAAAGTGGAAGACAGAAAATTCAAAAGTTAATTGAAATTGATCATTGTAGAATAATTTTTAGAAATGCAAAATGAAGGCAACAAAGCTAAGATTTTCGATGGTTGGGTGAGTGTCAAAATTTGTCATAAGCACACACTATTTGATAATTCAACATAATAACTCGGGCTGCGATGTTGTAGAAGTTTATATTTGACATCCATCACTTTATACATGACACCTTAATAATGTAAGAATAAAGAACATCGGGTGTGAATTAAGTTTAACAATATTTTTTTCAATTTTAGACGATGGTTCAAATTAGGTTTAACATTTTTTTTTTCAATTTTAGACGATGGTTTCTGTGTTCTTTTTTTTTTTAATTTGAAAAGTAAAATACAGACAAATAAATGCTGAAATGTAAAGAACACAAGATATATTCTAGTTTTCCTTTTCAAATAAAGATATTTTAGTCACCTCACACCTTGTGAGTGATTTCTCTATAAACGTTATTGTAAGTTCTGTGATTTTAAGATTGACAATAATTTAATTAAAATAAGTTTTACAACAAGATGTTGAGCTAGATGTCTTGACATGTCAGTTAGACATTATTGATGATCATCATGATGTCGTGACATGATGTCATAACATGTTATACCAGAAGATTAGAGTTTTATGTATTTGGAAGATCTGTTGTTTAAAATGTGAGATTCTATATGATTTTAGTTCACACTCTGTCGCATCGCAATCCAAGGAGGGATATTTTAGGAACATCTGTCTATGTCAGAAGTGTATTTGTTTCATAAAAGGATCTTGGAATTTTTTTAGGAAACTTTCTTTTTAATTCCTATTTTTGTGCAGAAGATCTTGGAGAAGATTTGAAGTTGTTGTTTTGGGATTTGCAAATTATTTAGTTGAAGAGCCCAAGCCCATGCTGATCAAAAGCTATAAAAGGTGCAGTTCTAAACCTAAAACGTTAAAGAAGCCATGTATTGAAAGGAGTATTACGGTTTATCACTGTTGTGTGATTGTGGGAAGTGAGATGAGTCTCATATTTAGGAGTTCCTAGGTAGAAATAGCACGGGTGGTGATTAAGTGAGAAGTTGTAAATCAGAGGTTGTTTGCTGAGGCTTCAAACTAATACTATTATACTGGATTTCCTTCCTGACTTGGATGCTCCCAAATGTAGGCGAGGTTCCAGCGAACTGGGTTAACAATTGATTGTGTTATTTACATTCAAACATATAATTTAACTACATAATTGTTGGTGTTATCATACTATTCTGATCCCAATGTCGTGACATCTTACTCGACATCTAGTACCTGTTACTAGAATTTCAATTGACACCAGAGCAGACATCCTGTTCTGTTTAGGTTGAGCTCCAAGGAATTTTTATTATGGTACTATAGAAAAGGAAGGAGGAGGAACTGTTAACAGACCCTCAGTCTTATATGGCATCAACTATGACTATCGGAAGGAACATATGGTGGCCTTCCTAAAATCTATGGATAAAAAATCTTGGAAAGTTATCATCAAGGGTTAAGAACATCATGTAATTAAGGACAAAGATGGGAAGGATTCCTTGAAGCCAGAAGAGGACTGGACTAAGGAAGAAGATGAAACTACTCTTGGAAACTCTAAAGCTCTGAATGCCTTATTCAATGGTGTTGACCAAAACATGTCCAGGTTGATAAACACATGTACAGTGGCCAAAGATGCTTAGGAAATTATCAAGGTCACTCATGAAGGCACATCTAAGGTGAAGATGTTTAGACTTCAGTTGCTTACTGCCCCTATTCAAGCGGCTTGGACCCGACTGGATGAAGAGCGCGCAGCCTTCAGACATTCGAGGTACGAGACGGTTGAATACGAAAGAACCCGGAAATTTGCCAACCGCAAAATCAAATTGCTAATACGACTACTGCTTGGGGAAAATATCATTCAGAAAACCGAATCCGGTTGTCACGGTAACAACTGATCAATTATCTGATAAGAACTGACTTGATTTCGTCCTCAACCACCTGCGCGACGCCACAGGCCTTGAATCCACAATTAATTCCAAATTTTGCTACAATAAGCATGCATCGAGCCAAAGGACCACGTCGAAAACACAAAAGTCTTGACCTTCGTTTGTAGAGAAACAAACAAAATGCTACGTAAAGCGCGAATCAGGCATCCGGTGACTTGAACAAGTTACTCTGTGGGATACATCTTCGACGACACAGATATTTGAACAAATAATTCCGCAGGGAGCCACTCCGTTAGCACGGGTAATGATTCTGCCAACACCGATAATAATTCCTTTGACAAAAGGTAACAACTCCATCGACCAGGATAACAAACTGCCTCAAACAAGGCATAATAACTCTTCAAACCAGGGTGTAACTCCATCACCCAGGGTGACAACACCCTCAACCAGGGTAATAACTCCTTCAACCAGGGCAACAACTCCCTCAACCATGGTAATAACTCCTTCAACCAGGGTATAACTCCTTCAACCAGGGTATAACTCCTTCAACCAGGGTATAACTCCTTCAACCAGGGTATAACTCCTTCAACCAGGGTATAACTCCTTCAACCAGGGTAATAACTCCTTCAACCAGGGTAATAACTCCTTCAACCAGGGTATAACTCCTTCAACCGGGGTATAACTCCTTCAACCAGGGTAATAACTCCTTCAACGGGGGTATAACTCCATCAACCAGGGTATAACTCCTTCAACCAGGGTATAACTCCTTCAACCAGGGTATAACTCCTTCAACCAGGGTATGACTCCTTCAACCAGGGTAATAACTCCTTCAACCAGGGTATAACTCCTTCAACCAGGGTATAGCTCCTTCAACCAGGGTATAACTCCTTCAACCAGGGTATAACTCCATCAACCAGGGTATAACTCCTTCAACCAGGGTATAACTCCGAAGGTTTAATACACAAGATTCTTGTAACAACAATCCGAAGAAAACTCTACTGGGGTAATTCTGACGACAGTCGTCAAACACATACTTCCACGACAGGTAGTAATTTCAAGATTTTCAATACTGACGTGACAACAGTCTGAAGAAAACTTCGCTGGGGAAGGAGAGAAGCTTAACCAAGCAACTCTGATGGAGAAGAAAACTCTACTGGGGAAATCACGGCGATAACTCCAAAAAATCTGAACTATGAAATCTTGTAATGCCGACATAACAGCGACTTGAGAAGGACTCAGCTGGGGAAAAGAGAAACTCAACCAAGCAACTCTGCTAGGGGTCCACATGATAGGACGAACACGATCACTGCTCGCCTTGCGCCCCAAATCCGACTATCCGAACATCTTCCTGAATCATAATCTCAATTATCTGCAGGGGAAAACAAACATCTGAGACCAACAAAGTAACCAACCTGGTTTATGTTTCTGAATACGTATGTTCGATAATGACGTAATGTTTCCATATAGCAGGGAAATGCTACGTATTTGGGTTAGATGCAAGTATGATGATACATGCAAATGCAATGAGGCGCTCCAGCAAAATAAATGCTGAAGACAAAGCTAACTCCGTCGAGGATAACCGGATATCACAGAATTATTACAGCCAAAATAAATGCTGGAAAAGTGAAACCAACTCCGCTGGGGAATAACATATGTGCCAAGTATGATTGGACTCCTCTGGGGAAAACAGACGGAGTCTGCCTGCGTACTAATGAAGATTGGATTTGAAACTGACACGCCAACACGAACGGGCCTTACAGTGATTGCCAATACATTTTTCTGGTTGAAGAATCGGAAGACAGTAACATGACTTCCCGACATTC